TCCTGCTGAACTTCCAAAGCCAAGAGTTCACTCCTTCTGCAAAGTCTTAACTGCCTCTGATACCAGCACCCATGGTGGCTTCTCTGTCCTCAGGAAGCATGCCACTGAATGCCTTCCAGCATTGGTAATGATAATAATACCCTATTTAGATAAACTTTTCTATAAACACTTTTAGAAGAAAAAAACATGAAGAAAAAATAAAATGAATTTTTCCATAAGCTCAAATTAATTTGTACATAAGCCTATTTTTGCTCATGGAGAAGCTAATTTTATTTTATTATCTTATTCTTTTCTCCTAGAAGTACTTCTGTAAAAGTTTATCCAAGCAACCTAATATTATATCTTTGCTATAACTTTTTTGTTGATTTTTCATTTTTTTTTTTGGGATTCCAGCACCAAATCTAGGTTGGCTAATAATTTTAACAAAATACCTTGTTGTTTTCGTCTCAGGATATGTCTCAATCAACTCCAACTCAGGAATTGGTTGCCAAGGATCTTCATGGCTATGAATGGCGCTTTAAGCATATATTTAGAGGTAAAGAATGCGAGGAATTTTTATTTGGGTCGTTCTGGTTTATAGTTACTGATGGCCTAATGTTTTTGCCTTTAATCTATGTTCCTTTGTATCCAGGTCAGCCACGTAGACACTTGCTCACAACTGGATGGAGTACTTTTGTGACCTCTAAGAGATTAGTTGCTGGAGACACCTTTGTGTTTCTTAGGTATATGTTCATTTTATTTGATGTTTTCCTTTTTCTTGGTATGGTTAAGAAAATATCTTCTATAAAATCAAGGTTTTTAAAAAGTTACCTGCCACCAGATTGAGGTCAAGTTTTATGGGGATTTTTTACTTAAAACCTTAGTAAAATTATATGATTTTTTGTGTGTTTGATTGTGCAAGCCTAATTTAAATAAGATTTTGTGTAGAGGAAACGATGGAGACTTGCGGGTTGGAGTGAGGCGTCATGCTCCTGTGCAGAGCAGCATGCCTTCATCTGTGATTTCTAGTCAGAGCATGCACCTAGGAGTTCTTGCAACTGCATCTCATGCTGTTGCAACTCAGACTCTTTTTGTTGTATATTATAAGCCAAGGTAGAACTTCTATTTCTAGCAAAAAAAACTAGAAAGTTGAAGCTCTTATGTTATTATAAGTTGTTGCAACTTGCAAAACTAATTACAAAGTAGATACATTTTTGTTACTATTGAGTAATCACTGGATGATTGTTGACGTGGAGATTTTGTATGATTAGGACTAGCCAGTTCATTGTAAGTGTGAACAAATATTTGGAGGCTATCAACCAAAAATGTAATGTTGGTATGAGATTCAAGACGAGGTTTGAAGGAGATGATTCCCCTGAAGCTGAAAAAAGGTACCAAAATTTAGTTCTCTAGTTTGTGTCTTTGTGATGTGAAATTTTCATTAGATATTCTGAAACATGGTTTATCAGATTTTCGGGCACAATAGTTGGAGTAGAGGATATTTCTCCTCACTGGGTAAATTCAAAATGGCGATCACTTAAGGTATTGACATATTTGACCTTGCAATTATCCACCACCTAAATTATTTGTTGTGGTTGTATGATATTTGTCTTGCATCTATTCCCAGATTCAATGGGACGAACCGGCTTCTTTTCCGAGGCCTGATAGAGTTTCACCATGGGAGATAGAACCCATTTTTGCTTCTGTTCCTACATCATCATCTCAACCTGCTGTTGTAAAGAATAAAAGGCCTCGACAAGCAAATGAAGTTCCAGATCTTGGTAAGCACTAGCAGTTGCCTCATTTAGTCCTTTCCAATTGAGTATATAACATCAACATTGTACTTGAAATTGGTATCACCACCGATCGATTTGGTTCTTAATAACGAAAAAGCAAATTTAGTTTTAAGTTTGTAACTTTGAAAACCATGGTCAATTTAGTCTTTGAGATTGGTATCATGCATCAATTTGGTTCCTACATTATAAAATAAAAAATAAAAAAATAAAAACAAATTCTGTACTTGACTATAGCTATAGTCAGGAAGTAAATTTATTTTTTCATAATGTCATATATCAATTAGTAAATTGTTTAGTAGTGTTGATTTCAAAGACTAAGAGTTTGTTTAAATACAAGCTGAAAGTATTTTTGAGAGTTTTTTTATTAAAAAAAAACTCCTTATTTGTAGTAGAGAAGTTCTCAAAAGCTTTTCTAAGCTTGTATCTAAATAAATTCTAAATTGTTTTTCATAATGTCATGAACTGAATATCCTAAACATGCCAATTTAGGGTCCAAATAGATGTTTCACTCCCCAATTCTTGTATTGATTATTCTGCATGGACACTTTCATTTCACTTTCAAAGGAGACACACCATTACCTGCCTCTAATTTCTGGGATGCTGGGTCAACACAGTCTGATATGACTCAACTTAGTGTCATGGCCGAAAACAAAAGGAGTGACAATAGTACCCATATGTGGCATCATAAGCAGATTGATAACAGTAAAAGCATTAGCAACGGTATATCAATGAATCAGACAGAAACAAGTTGGCTAGCTTCTCCTCATTCTAGTGGCCCCCCTCATTTGTATCATGACACTACCGATGATAGCAAGAGCATCTCAGCTTGGCCTATTTCCAAAACTCACTCAGAACGATTGAACAATGATCATTTGCTAGACCACGTCGACAAGGAGATCAACAAAGTAGAGGCTGCTACAAGCTGCAGATTGTTTGGGATTGAGCTTATTGATCATGCCAGGAACAACTCTCTTTGTGTAGAGAATGCATCTGTGCATGCAACAAATGCATTTGGAGTCTCCTCTGAGTACAGAACTGATGTAAAACATGAGTCTGATATCTCAAAGGCTTCTAAAGAATGGAAACAAGAAAATCTACAAGTGCCTCCAAAAGAGACTCAGATCAAGCAAGTTTGTAGCAGAAGTTGCACTAAGGTGCGTTTTTCTATTTAGATAAATTTAATGTTTTATAGTCTTGTATGAAAAGTTTCTAAAGTAAGCCTTCTGTTGTGTTTAAAACATGCACAAAAAAAAAAAGGTTCAAATGCAGGGGGTTGCAGTGGGCCGTGCTGTGGACTTGACCACTTTAGATGGGTATGATCAACTTGTTGATGAATTGGAGATGATGTTTGACATAAAGGGACAGCTTCAACACAGGAATAAGTGGGAAATTGTCTTCACTGATGATGAAGGGGATATGATGCTTGTTGGTGATGATCCATGGCCGTGAGTATCTCTTTATACACAGTAATATATAGTGCCGTTGAGAGAACAAAGTGGAGAAAATGGAATAAAATAAGGAAATTAGTGATAAGAAAAACGTGGGCGTTGAAGTTATTAAGAAACATGTACTTAATATATAGAACTTAAATATGATCGATCATCCACGAAGAAGAGATAAATGTGATAGATGATATGATAAAATAGAGAAAGAAAATGAGAAAATGAGGTAGAAAATGGAATAGAAGAGAAAGTAGATGATGGATATAATTGCTCTTACATGAACATAAACACTTGTTAGTAAAAGGGAAGGAGGATAAGACAGAAAAGTTTTAAGAGATATGGGAAGCGACTAATGAGAATGCATTGTTATATTTATGCTTAAGACTTCATTTGTTTTGCTGGTATATTTGGCGCGCATGTCACAATAAGAATAAGAGAGAAATATTTAGAGATATAGGGGAAATGAGATTGAAGAGAGAAAGTGAAATATGATGATTAGATAGCATCATTTTTTTATATATATTCATGCGGATCACCGTATATATTTTGTTTGTTCAATTTCCATGCATGCTACAGTTAAATAAGGATAAGATTAACTGTATGCTAAATGCTAATAGAATAGATAATACTGTAAACCAACCATTATTAAACTTCCTTGTAAGTAACCAATTATTCATGTAGCCACTTCTCACTATTAATATAAATATCATATATGTTGATTGGTATTATTATTATGTTCTTGCAGTGAATTCTGTAATATGGTGAGAAGAATCTTCATTTGTTCTAGCCAGGATGTGCACAAATTGAGTTCTGGGAGCAAACTACCTTTATCATCCGTAGAAGAGACTGTAATAAGCTCAGACACAACTGAGACATAAGACTTCTTCATTGTTGTCCTTTCTAAGCTTTTGTTAGTCTTTTTTGTTGTTGCACCTATTTTGCTTGTTTGAGGTAAGGATGTTAGTTCATTTGTGGTTAGGCAAGTTTCATTTTAGATGTGAAACAGTGGCTAATTGTAGCTCGATTTAGAGACTCTAGACACTAATTTGGGTTCCAAAGACCAAACTGAATGCTTTAATAAATTGGTTTTGAGAGGGGAAAATTGGGCACAGTGGCTCACACACGTGAACATTCATAAATGTGTTTCTATTTGAAAGCAAAGTGTGCCTCTGTGGCTTTGAAAATTGTAACAAATGTCCATTGCTGTTTATGGGGATTGGAATTTGAATGATAGCGTTAAATTACTGGAATTTATCTTTCAGAGGAATTGTGGTCCATTGCAACCACAGGTTCTCCTCACAAATGGATTGAAGCTGACAGGGTGGGGGTACCACCAAGATGCCATATTTATCAAACTTTAAGAGTGTTTTATTTTTTGGGAATTTAAATTCGGAACTGTTAATTATCAATGTTGGGTCAGTTTGGTGTATTATTTTAAAAATATTTAAAAACAAGCATTATTTCTTGAAAATGCTTTTATCTAGGTAGCATTGACAGCGTTGGATTCAGAAATATATTCAATTTGTCCGGAATTTAAAATTGAGAATGATATATTAAGAATTTTAAATTTAACGATTTGATCGTTAAAATTTAATGTAGAATATTAGTTATTGAATAGAATAAGTTTAGACTTATTCTTAAAGTAAACTGATCCATCCTTATATATAGATAGATAAATAAATAGATAGATAGATAGTTTGTTATTTAAAAGATAATATTCTTAAAAAATATTATTTTTAAAAAATCTTTTTTAACATATGTTTCTCACAAAATTGTTTATATTAGAGAGATGAGAAACTAAGGGACCATTAAATTTCAGAAAATATTTTTTATTTTTTGAAAATAATTTTCATTTTTAATTGTTTAAATTCATAAAATATGTTTGATTTAACTTCTCATTCTCTAATTTTAGAATGTGGAAATAATAAAATGTGTTTCGTTTATCTATTTTCAATGATAATTTATAATATTAAATTTATTTTATTATTTATTTAAGGCTTGTGTTTAAAAATAACAAAAATATGCTACTTGATCATTACATACTTGTTATTGATCTCATCCCAATAAAATACTATTGTGCCGCAAAATATATATAAATAAAAGATTCATATATTTTAAGAGTAAGTTTACCTAGATTTACTTTATTTTATAATTTATGTTCTACATCAAATTTTAACGATCTAACTATTAAATTTAAAATTTTTAATGCATGTATCAAATCTGCAAATTTTTAAAGAATTTAAAAATTATTTGATATGTCATTTCGTTAATTCAAATTAACGGATAATCATAAAATTATTTTATACATTGATTTGAATTAATGAAACGAAGTATCAAATAATTTTTAATTTTTTTAAAAATTTATAAGCATATAGCTTTACTTGACCCACAATGGTGGGATTCTCATATTTTTAGTGCATAAAACCTACTGCAATTTTAATGAGCAAAAGCTTATGTGGATTGAATTTTCTTCTTAATGACACTTTATTTAAGAGGAAAACATAAGATAATATGATGATTAAGTAAACCATCAATTTCGTCTTCATAGTATATTATCCTCTCTACTGAATGATCTCTAGAACAATAAAACTATTTAACTAACAAAAGTATTGAATATCTATCGCTTTGGTCCCAAGCTGGCGTATATTAGTCAAGTTCATGGACTAATTTAAAGGGTTTTTTAATATCCAGGGGATCATTTAGTATAATTTTATTACTTTTAAGACTATTTATGTTTTTTCATTTTATACTTTAGGGACCAGTTAGTTAGGAGAAAGGGTAATACTTCAAGGATGAAATATATATTATTTACTCTGTTATGATTATGAACCGATTTAGATATAAGTTAGAAGTGCTTTTGAGATTTGCTTTACTGAAAATAGAGTCGTTTCCAGCACAGAAGCTATCAAAAATACTTCTAAACTTGCATTTAAACAAACTTTATAGCTTGCATAACAGTTAATATGATACATGTTTAATGATCCCGTTTAAGAAAATGCTCTTAAATAATATATAGTTTGATTGGATACAAACTTAAAAGAGCTTTTAAAAGCTTCTTTTCTGAAAATAAAGAACTTTTTCTAATAGAGAAACCAACAAAAACACTACTAACATGTATTAAATCAGGTTTAAAGTGTATCCAAGAATCTCCAGGCTATCAAATGTTATTTCTAAGCATGATATATCTTTCATTATTTGTTGTAGATGGGGCTCAGCTGATTCTAGTGAACAACTGTGGGGAAAGTGTATGGCCAGGGATACTTGGTGGAGCAGGACAACAGACTCCAAAAGATGGTGGAGAGCATCTTGGAAGTGGTGAAGAACCAGTGCTTGATGTGCCAGAGAAGTGGTCAGGGAGAATTTGGGGCAGGCAGGGTTGCGACTTTGACAATGATGGAAATGGTCACTGTCTCACAGGTGATTGCAATGGGAAGCTACACTGTAGAGGGCAAGGAGGGGTGCCACCAGCAACAGTGGTTGAAATGACCCTTGGATCCTCCTCTTCTCCCTTGCACTTCTATGATGTGAGTTTGGTTGATGGCTTCAACTTGCCTGTTTCCATGAAGCCAATTGGGGGTGGAATTGGGTGTGGTGTGGCCTCCTGTGAGGTGGATTTGAATGTTTGTTGTCCTTCAGCACTTGAGGTGAAGAGAAATGGCAAGGTTGTGGGGTGTAAGAGTGCATGCTTGGCTATGCAATCAGCAAAGTATTGCTGCACAGGGAGTTATTCTGACCCTAAAACATGCAAGCCAACCCTTTTTGCTCATCTCTTTAAGGCTATTTGTCCTAAGGCTTATAGTTATGCATATGATGACTCTAGCAGCCTTAACAAATGCAGGGCTCCAAGATATGTTATCACTTTCTGCCCTCCCCCAATCTAAAAGGATCCACATGACAAAATGCAGTTGAAGTTGTTGTTATAGAATTGCAAATGCATTAATCATCAGTGAAGAACTGTTTCTTGGATGATATTTTAGTTTTTTTTTTAATACTCAATTGGTTTAGTTATGTGTTTTTTAGAGTCTTTTCTTATTCTTCTTGAATAGTCATTGTTCTTTATCATTAATATAGTTGAAAAGAAGGGTAGATTGATAATACACAGCTTTTCACATTTTTGCTCATACTATTGATTATGCTTTGCCATGTAAGAAGTTTAATTAGTCAAGTTAACTTGCACCCAAAAAAAGGGAAAAGAAAATATTGTAATCATGTGACCAAGTACTTGCATCCAAAAAAAAGGGGAAAGAAATATTGTGCAGCATCATTTACAAGAAATAAAAATTATGGACAATGTACTAAAAATAGAAATGAAAGAAGAATCTTAGAAGATTAAACTCTTTCTATCTTTTATCTTACTACCAAGTCACAAAATTGAACTTATATATATATATAATAACTCATAAGTATTTTTGTTGACATGACAACATTTTAGAAACATCTTAAATTAACGTGTTGTAATACAAAATAGTTTAGCTTTTATATTATAATAATTATCAGCCATCCGAACCCATATACGATGGAGATTCAACTATTGTGCGTACATGATGAAAAAGTGGCCATCACAATTTTATGAAAAAGATGGTTGAATCAAGTGTAACCGTTGTGCGTATGTGATGGAGGTGCGGCCATTGATTCTTGTTTCAACAGAAAAATAATGACTATGAAATAATAGAAGGGATAAACCATCATAAGTGGAGAAGAACGATGACTATAAAACTCCTTAATCAAAATATTTAGGGTTTATAACTATGGAGATATAAGATTTATAGTTATTGAAATATATATTAAAATAAAAATTAAAAAAAACATTATAAAATGATTCATAAATAAGAGAGATAGAATAAAATAGCATGTAAATATTTTTATTGACATGACAATATTTTAACTTTTAGAAATATTAAATACAAAATAACTTAACTTTTATATTATAAATAAATAGATTAACATGAGTGTCAATATAAGTCTGCAATCAATGATTTAGTTGGTTTGGGTTTGATTCAAGAACAAAAGTACCATGCTTTTTTAGATAAATCTCAGATGAAGATCGAAAGAAATATTACAAAAGTTGGTTCAGAGTGAAATCTAAATATCAGCGACAATGACTTGTATTAAGTAGAAAGTAGAGACTCTAATATAGTTGATGCATCTGATATTATGTATTACACACTCTCAAACACAATTGACACTTGATAAATCAGCATGAGGAAAACTACGGAACCTTCTTTTCTGATTTTCTCTTACTCTTTGGCCTTTTCTTTTTCTTAATCATCTTTATTTCTTAGATCAGAATCCACTATCCTTACCACATCTATGTGTGTTTTTCTCTCCAGTTTCATGTTCAGAGTTTGTCTCAAATGATCTCCATATCTGACTTTTTGGTACAATTTGGAGTTTTGACCATCTATCATATGATCAAGTGGTTCAACTTCCACATCATCCTGTGGGCAAAAGAATAATGCACAAGAAATCCTCTTCTTGTTCTTATTCGTTACTGCTCTGTGCTCAACACTCTTGTATTTACCATTACTCCATATCTTCAAGAGTAAAATGAAATGCTTTTAATTATAATAACTAAAAAATAAAAATTCATGAAAAGAATCAAAAAGATAATTATGCATTTTTAAAATATGCAACACGAAAAAATAATTCAGGTACCTCAATTACATCTCCAACATTGACAACTAGAGCATCCAATATTGGGATCACGGGCACCCATCCTCCTTGATATCGAATTTCTAACCCAATTACATCATGATCTTGCATAAGCAAAGTGATGGTGCTTGTGTCAGAGTGAGGACTCAAACCCAGTACTTGGTCTGGTGTGTTGCAAGGAGGGTAATAGTGTTATTTTTGTGTAGTTTGATTAAGTTAATGACACTTTTTCATGGAAAGAAATGAAGTAGTTCAATTTTGTGACTTGGTAGTAAGATAAAAGATAGAAAGAGTTTAATCTTCTAAGATTCTTCATTCATTTCTATTTTTAGTACATTGTCCATAATTTTTATTTCTTGTAAATGATGCTGCACAATATTTCTTTCCCCTTTTTTTTGGATGCAAGTACTTGGTCACATGATTACAATATTTTCTTTTCCCTTTTTTTGGGTGCAAGTTAACTTGACTAATTAAACTTCTTACATGGCAAAGCATAATCAATAGTATGAGCAAAAATGTGAAAAGCTGTGTATTATCAATCTACCCTTCTTTTCAACTATATTAATGATAAAGAACAATGACTATTCAA